TAAATGGACACTTGACAAAAAAAAAGATGCATGAATGGCTAATGAGGATGTGCAAAGATTTCAGCATCATTCATTATCAGGAAAATGTGAATTGAAACACCATGTGGTGCCACCACACACTTGCTAGAAGAGCTAAAATTGAAAAGCTGACGACACCAAGTGTAGACAAGGCTGTGGAATAGTTGGAACACCCATACGTTGTTGGTGGAGATGCCAGATTGTCTAACCACCTTGGAAAATGTTTTGACAGTTTCTTTTGAAGTTAAGCATACATTTTCTATACGACCGATTCACTCTTCTCTGCTTACCAAGGGGAAAGGAAGATGCATGTCCATACGAAGACTGTTACGTGAATGTCCATGGTGATGTTATTATTCACAGTGGAGCCAAACTGGAAAGAAGCCAGATGTCCATTAATTGGTGAACAGATACTTAAATTATGCATTTTCAATCAGTGGTTAACATTCATCGGTAAAAAGAAGCACACTGTCGATTCATGCAAAAACATGAGTGAATTTAAAAGGACACTGTGTTGACTAAAAGAAGCCAGATACAAAATTATACTCACCATACGATCTTACTGATATTAAATTTTACAAAAGGTAAAAACTAATTTACATAAACAGAAGGGAGAGAATGGTGGCCCAAGGCTGGGGTCTGAGAGAGTTTTAGGGGGTGATGGACGTGTCCCACAACCTGATTTGTTGGTGACTATGCAGGTACATAGATCTTTATGTCTGGCTGAACTGATGGGTGCATTTTACAGTGTGGAGATTAAACCTCAGTAAAATTCATTTTAAAAAGGAAAAGGGAAGAAATATGAGGATAATAAGAAGCAGTATGCTAATTTTCACCAAAAAAAGGCCTGCTGGGATTTTATTTGGGATTATGTTGAATCTTTAGATCAAATTAACAATACCGAGTCTTTCAATCCATGAACATGGTATATCTATTTTGTTTCTCTTAAAAATGTTTTGGAGTTTCTAGTGTCTTGTACTTCTGTCACAAAGTTTACTCCTATGTGTTTATTCCTCCTGTTTTTGATGCTATTGTGTAAAATTATTTTCTATTTCCATTTGTTTGTTGCCAATGTGGAGAAACCCAGTTAATTTTCATGTATCAATGGCCATATAATAATCTGGCTCAGATCACTTATTAATTCTAATATTTTGTAGATTCTTTTGCATTTTCTATGTATACAATTATGCAATCTTCAAACAATAACAATTTTCCCTCCCTTTCTAATATTTATAAACTTTATTTTCTTCTCCTGCCACATTGTTCTTGCAAAGACTTCCAGTGCAATGTTGAAATAAAAGTGCTTTGTTTTGCCTGGCTGGTGTAGCTCAGTGGATTGAGCATGGGCTGTGAACCAAAGCATCGTAGGTTCGATTCCCAGTCAGGGCACATGCCTGGGTTGCAGTCCACGGCCCCCAGCAACCGCTCATTGATGTTTCTCTCTCTCTCTCTCTTTTTCCCTCCCTTCCCTCTCTAAAAATAAATAAACAAAATCTTTTTAAAAAGTGCCCTTTTTTGGGTAGCTACCCTTAAAACAGATTAAGGAGATTCCTTTCCACTCCTATTTTGCTGAGGTGTTTTCAAAGATCATTAGCGGACATTGAATTTCATCAAATGCTTTTTCTGCATCTATTGAGATGATCATATGGGTTTCCTTCTTGATTCAGGGAATGAGGTAAGGTACGGCAGCCGACTTTTGAATGTTAAACCAACCTTGTTCTCCTAAGATAAAACCTGCTCGGTCATCATCTGTTATCCTTGCCATGTATTGCTGTATTCAATTTGCTACTAGTTGGTTTAACATTTTTGCATTGATGTTTGTGAATCAGCTTGGCCTGTTGTTTTCCTTTCTTGTAATTTCCTTGTTAGGTTTTACTGTCAGTAGAGTGAAATTTTAAAAATACATAATTTACAGTGGCACGAAAAATGACCCAATACCCCCAAATGACCCAATTCTTAGAATTGGGAAATACTTCCCGACTCCTTTATGAGAGGCTAAAATAATTCTGACCCATAGGGTGGCCACCCGTGCTCGCGTACCTGAGACTTAGAGGACTCCTGGGATAGAAATTCACAGTGGGGACACTAGGAAAGTCACAGAAAAATCAGATGAGCTCGATGGAATGGATTTGTAGGTGGCGGTTCAAGGGGCTACTTTACAGAGGTAGAAGGGTTTTTTTTTAAGATTTTATTTATTTATTTTTAGAGAAGGAAGGGAGGGAGAAGGAGAGAGAGAGAAACATCAATGTGCAGTTGCTGGGGGCCATGACCTGCAACCCAGGCATGTACCCTGACTGGGGATCAAACCTGCAACATTTCGTTTTTGCAGCCCACGCTGAATCCACTGAGCTACTCCAGCCAGGGTTAGAGGTAGAAGTTTAAGCGACTTCATGGTCCCCTCCTTGCTTCTTGCTGCTAAACTAGCTCCGCCCTTGACCTCACCAGACACTCATCCCAACATGTTAACAAAAGCTGACACATGTTCGTATGACCTCGTGGTGGCGTTTGGTCTTCTGCAAATTACAAAGTATTGTTAGTCTCGGTTTAGGATCACCCAGTGGGCGGACACGGAGCCCCGGCGCACACTCCTTGCCGTGTCAGGCACGGGGAGAGCACCTACCGCTCAGGTAAAAGCAATGAAAGTCACGGCTCTCAGTTTCCTGTCCCCGTCTTTGAGGCAAACGTTCCTCCGGGGAACGGAGAGTAGTTAGGGACGATGTGAAGAAGGGTTATGAGTTGACGGATAATCTGTATTAAATCCAAGAGACGTGGATAGGTGCCTGGGCAGGTGCTGGAGGCCGGAAAATGAGACCGAACTTAAACCATCATTGGCTGACTCTGTCCTCCCGGCTGTTGTTGCCACGGGCAAATCCCGCCCACCTACCTTGGAAAGAATCCCAAATCCAGCCCTCATCTTCATCTGCACGGTTAGCACGTCTGGCTGAGTCACGGCCACGGTGGCAGAGGTTTTCAGCAGCCTCCTCTCGACTCTCTGTGCGTCCAGCCCCTGTCCCCAGCCCCTGGCTCCTGCACTCAATGCACATGCGCAGATGCGGACTTCGCCCTGCTCCGCTGCCCCGTGGCTTTCCACCGCGGAGGAATCAACCACACCCCTTCCTTCCAGGGGCCTGGGCCCTCCGTGGTCTGCCCATCGGCCTCTCCAGGCACAGGGTCTTTCTCACCCCAGCCGTCTTCTCCGAGCCTTCCGTGTTGATGGTCCTGCGCTTGGAACAACCTCTCCTCTTAGCTCACGAGGCCCGCTTCAGCCCATCGCCCAGGCCTTGCAAGAAACGTCACTTTGTCTGGAGGCCTGCCTCCGCCACCCTGTCCCATCCCTCCCTAGCCTCTCCCAGCCTCAACCCTTCCTAGCGTTTGTCACCACCAGAGACCACGGGTGAATGCTTCGATCTATCTGCCACCTCCCTTGAGTCTGGGGACCTGGCTCATGGCCGCTGGCCCGGGAGAGTTCTCTGAGTAAATGAATGCCTGGTTCACATCCACCCGCCTTCCAAAGGGGCCCTTTTCGGTGCCCTGGCCCACAGCTCAGGGCTGTCTCTCTCCCGATAAAACATCTTGAAGCCGCATCGTGCGCGGAAACACCCTCGGGACGGAGAGGTCCCCGAAGAATGGCGCGTCTCTGCGGAGAGCTGGCTGCGAGGAACAGTCAGCTTCCCTGCCTTTTGTCTTCCGAGCAGCTGCAGGTCTGCACTTGGGCTCAGTCACGTGGTGGGGGATGGGGACAGAAACCCCCCTCCGGGTCATTCTCCCTGCCCCCTGGGTGCGCCTGCGGAGCAGGGCAGGGCTGGCCTGTTCTTTTAAGTAGGAGGAGTGCTTGTGTTCCAAAGACTCTCTTCTGAGAAGTTTCTGCAAAGGTTTGCTTACCTTACTTACTTACTAATTAAAGGGAAGCCACATTTTCCCCTCCCTGGCCCCCGCGGTCCTACCCCCAACGGCCACCTGATACCACAGGCAGGTTGGGTTACACCGTCACCGGCGACCGTGCCATTTGCTGTGATGACCGCGTCGACAAGGCTGAGTGACTTGGTGGAAATATTTCCCGATTGGACTGAACCGTTGGCAGCCTGCGCACCATCCCGCTTGCTTTTATAATGAAAAAGGAAATTATTTCTGCTTTTGACGATGGCGGCTCCAGAAATGGTGAGTAGGTGTGGGGAGAGAAGGTTCCACACAGTGGTGACTCTTCAATGTTTCTCAGTGTGCGGAACCAGCCAGCCGTGGCCCATCTGGGGAGGGACTTCCTCCCCCAGGTTCCACGTTTCAGGGAGTGTTTTATCATTTGGTCGTGTTCTAGTTATAAAGTTAACCTGTCTAACTCGCTTCATGCTGATGGTCCGTCAGCCAGGATCAAAGCGAGAATCAAAGTCAAAAAGGCCGACTGTGAACTGAGTAGCTCTCTAAGATACTCTCCGAAGCTGCTCTTAGGGTGGGAATGAAATGGACTGTTCTAGCGCCCACCTCTGGCTTAGGTTTTCCCGTGACCACGTGAAGCAGCATGAAGACAAAGCTTGTTTTAAGTGGCCTGGTAGTTCCCTGTTCAGTGTCAAAGGTTACAACAGGGAAGCACAAAGCAAACAAAAGAGGCAGGAGCTCCAAGTGTCCATGTTTCTGGGCCCATTGGAACCTCTGGACGTGAGTGTCTTGAGGAAGCCGGCTCCTGGCGGAGTCACACCTGCTGCCCCGGAGCGTGACCCGAGAAGCTGCCTCTGGGACATTGGCCATCCCCTCCCTCCCTCCCTCCGCCCCTCTTAGATCTGCCAGGAATGCCTTCCAGGGGCTCTGGCCCCTGGGGCCTGGCGACGGGAGGAATTCTCCTGCAGGACACAGAGCCCAGTGTAGCTCTGGTGCCGCCTGCGGCCGGCCGCCAGCCACTCCTCCCTTTGCTGGGAGTTGGGGCGGGGACCGGGCACCCCGAGGGCCCGGATACTTTCATCCTGAATTAGGTCAGGGTGGCGGGAGCCAGGAAAGCTACAAATACTGTGGGCGAGTGTCCCTTCTCTGGTGCCGCTGACATCGGAGGGGCGCGGACAGTATGTGAGTATCAGAACCTTGGACGTGGGGGGTGGGTGTCTCGCACGCGCAGGCGAAGGGTCGAGTTCATGTGATACAGACACGGCGATGGCAGGAAAATGGAGGGGGTGTGCTTTGAAAGTCATTCATCTGCTGTAACGTTGGGGTTTGGGGACTTCTAACTGGCAAGAGGGCGCCTCTCTGAAGATGTGCACTCAGTTGATTTTAAGACTGGTGGGACGAATGTTGGGAAAGTCCTTATTTTAGCAGAAGTAAGTTCACTGTTGTTCGCTAACTCTAGAAGTTTCTCTGTTATCTGCTGTGGCTTGGGGAAAAAAATGCGTCTCACCAGACAAAGAGTTTTGATTAGTTGGCATGGAATTCGCTTCATGTGGATTGTCAGATTTCAAAGACTTAACACAACAAAGATGTATTTGGTGCTGGAGCCGTAAACAGGGGAGCAAACGCTTTCTGTTCTTCCTGGCCGAGGAGGTGGAGGTGGAGGCGGAGCCGAACCTCAGAGGCCCTGAAATAGTCACCATGGGGGAGAACGACCCGCCGGCGGCTGAAGCCCCCTTCTCCTTCCGATCCCTTTTCGGCCTTGACGATCTGAAAATAAGCCCCGTCACACCAGGTAGGTGCAACCAGGTGTGCTTTCTGCCCCCCACCCCCATCTAGAGATGGCGAACGTGGCTGAGGGCTGCGTCTCCCGCTGCGGAAATATCTCACCAGACGTCCTTGCACCTCACGTGTTGAACATATGTGATTCTCTGGCGTACAGACTGTGGGAGAGAGGGGGCGTCAGAGGGGACGGTTGTCCCGCCCCTTGCTGACTCTGTGCACACAGGGCTTTGTATTCTTTGCATGAAGATTCTCAGAAATGGAGGCTCCAATGGGCCCTGGGAGTTAGGGGTCAGTTGCTGGCCAGACTCTCTGCGCCCTCCTGGAAGTCTTGGGAACCCGCTGCTCACCAGCCCTTCTAGAAAACTTAAAATAAGCTGGGCCTCCCTGAAATCCTTCCCTGAAGGATTTGATGCCTAGGTTAAAATCCAATAGCAGGCGACAGGGTACATTTTGCAAACAGGCTACAAGTATGTGGAGAGACAGGGGACTCCACAATGCCTGTCCAGCTGGCATCTCTTTGGCAAGAGCCCACGGGGGCTTGTCACAGCGAGCAGGACTCGCTGCTCCCGTACGCAGTCAGGGGCTCCCTGGCCCCTGGGGCTGGGAAGGGGGCCCTGGGGGCTCTGGCTGAGGGTCCGGAAAGCATGATTGGGGGTAACCCCAATGATTCCTTTTAAACCACAGTTGATGCTGGTGGGGGGAGAGAAGAGGATGGGAGATGGGAGGAGATATTTCTATGAAAGATACACAATTGAAAAAGACTTCTCCAAAATTAACATAGATGTAAATTTTAAAAGTACCCTGCAATCCCCTAACTCCCAAATTTTACCCCACTTTTATATCTGCATTCATTTTCTTCCCGTCGTTTCCTGTAAATATGCATCATCCATCCGTGGTGCTGGCAGGCGGGCGGGCCTCCTCCAGGTGCTGCCAGGTTTTCATGAATGTCTTTTTTTTCAAGATTTTATTTATTTAGTTTTAGAGAGGGAAGGGAGGGAGAAAGAGAGAGAGAGAGAAACATCAATGTGCGGTTGCTGGGGGCCATGGCCTGCAACCCAGGCATGTACCCTGACTGGGAATCGAACCTGTGATGCTTTGGTTTGCAGCCCGCACTCAATCCACTGAGCTACGCCAGCCAGGGCCATGAATGTCTTTTTAAAAATAACATTATTCCGTCAAGTATATGTGTGATTTCATAACCATTTTATCATCATTTGACATATGATTGTTTCTAATATTTTGATAATATAATCTGAACATGAATAGTGATATGCATTTTTCTCTATGCTAACTTTTATTAGTTTTTTCATGATTAGCTCTGGTGGGGGAAGGAACAAAAGGTGTTTAAAACTTTTCTTTTTAAATAAAGCAATGCATTATTCATTGTAGAAATCTGGAAAAATAGTTAATCAAAAAGATTTTTTTTAATTGCCCACAATTTTACCGTTACTCAGGGCTAATTCTATGAGCAGTTTATGGGGGATTTCTTGCCTTTTTCCTGCCAATATCTTTATTCCCCTTTGGAAGTGACATAAACTATTTGTATCATTTTGAAGCTTTTTAAAAAACTAAACAGTATTGTGTTAATTTTTCCATGGCATTTAATACCTAAATCTTCTTCAGGGTTGGGCAAACTATGGTCCATGGGCCAAATCCGGCCCACTGCCTGTTTTTATGACCACAGTTTTACTGGGACACATCGATGTACTCACATATTGTCTGTGGCTGCTTTTATGCCGTAGGAGAGTTGAGTAGTTGTCACAGAGGCCATGTGGCCCGTAAAACTTAAAGTATTTGCTATCTTGTCCTTTGCCGGAAAACCTTGCCGACCGCCCTCTCTACCACCTGGCGTCCATCCTGTTCAGTATTTCTCCAGTTTCTTCCCTTGGTCGCTGAGGCTGTTTCCCATGCGTCAACGTTATCAGTGACCCTCCTCTACGCGTCCTTGTAGGTAGGCATCTGTGTGTATCTACGGTGACGTCATAGGATACATTCCTAGAAGTGGATTCGCTGGGTCAAAAATTCCATCCAGTTTTAAACTTTTGGTGCATGTTGCAAATGTGACTGTCAGAAAGTTCCCACAATGCAAACTCCCGTCGACTGTATGTGGAGGTCCATCTCCTTTCACTTTGGACGGTAGTGAGTGTAACAACCACAAATACCAACAACTGCAGTACTGTGTTGGGGAGTTGATGGGGAATTGTGTCTAACGTGTGTTGTTTCTTTTTCATCTCCAGAGAGGCTGAAGGGTTTTTTCTTTATGCTTGTTTATCATTTGCATTCCTCTTTGGAGGGGTGCTATGCATCTTTCTTCTTATTCTAAGCACACCCTCAAAGACAGGATAAGGCGGGTGGGACCATGGCGGCGCCCACAGGGCACCAGGATGCAGTGGCGAAGCGGCCAGTGTGCACTGATGCAGGGGTTCTGACTAAGCAACAATCTTCAACTCTACCATCTGGGTGTTTCCTAACTGAACTCTTACAGAATAACTGGGATGATATGAGGTCATTCTGGGGGTTCCTGCTGATTTTTAAATTGTAAATGGAGAGAACACATCTCAACGGGAGAGATTTCTGGGGGTGGGGGAGGGTGGACGGGAGGCGTCTGCTCTACCACGTCAAGGCTATGCACTGATGCCTTGAGAGGAATTGGCCTCTAACCCTGAGATAAACAACCTTCATTATCATGATGTCATCTGTCCATCCATCTCTCCATGCATCCATTCAATTTACCAATATTTACCAAGAACTACCAGGTGCCAGGTGCTGTTCTAGGTGCTGAGAACGCAACCGCGAACAAACCGCTTGTGCATCCAGGCCAAAGCAAAGAGCTTACTGTCCATCTCCCCGTCTCTCCGTCTCTCCGTCTGTTCTCCTCTCTTGCTCTGCACCCCTCACGATCACGGAGGATTGTATGTGGCACGAGTTACCTTATTTCCCCTGGTGTCTTCCCTTTTCCCCCTTACCCTTTTCTGTTGCTTACTCTTTCCTCCTTTCCCTCCTAATCCACCTCTTCCCCCGATATATTTGTATTTAAACTCTTTTCTTTTTAAGGCAGCCTGGAATGATATTGACCATTTTATAATCGTGCTATTGCCAGAAGGAGAAGCTGTGTGTAGAGACAGGCAGGGCGAGATCTTTTTGATTCTCCCACGGGAGACCTCTCAGCTCAGCGTCTCCGAGCCCAAGAGAAGAAGGGCAGAGGCGGTCTCTGTCCCTAGCAACGGCGTGACCCTCAGAAGGCTTTCTGCCCTTCCTCCAATCCAGTCTTGCCAATTGCAGGGAAGACACCTTGGGCGTGGATGCATTTTCAGGATTGATGAGATCATGTGCTTGAAATGGCCTGTTCTTCGGAGAGTGAAGGGTGCTAGTGGAACCTGTCCTGTTGCACAGAGAGACTCGTGCCTCTGGGGATCTTAATGCCCCTCACATCTCCTTCCCCCCCAGACTGCCTGGTACGTTAGCCAAGAACTGGAGGGAGGGCTCTGGTGCAGGCTAACAGGCCAGCCTATCACAGATCCACGGATGCTGGCAGAAGACACGAGACTCCCGGGTCAGACGCAAAGGACTTTATTGCTCACAGCACAGGCGGCACACGCATCCTGTTTGAGTTGTTGCTGTTGCCCACCAAGCCCCATGGAGGCGACGTGGAGCAGCCCAGGCGCACGCTGCACACCCGGTGGGTCTGCATGACCGCTGCGGAACCCGCAGCGGAGGGAACCTGAACCCCTATACTGGGCCACAGGCCGACCTGCACAGACCCGGCCCTGTCTCCATCCACTAAGGCTGTTTGCTTTGCCGATGTCCTTGGAAAGATGTTCTGGACCCAAGGCCATTGGTGCCCCCGTGCACAAGACCTACAGAGAATGGCCTGCTGCGTCATCTGGCCACACTCTCAGAGGGCCCAGCTGTCCCTCTCCCAAGAGTATGGATTTTACACGTCACCCTCCCCTGTGAGAAAATGACCTCGAAAGCTGGCGTCCTACTTTCTCTTTGTTTCGGTTTCCTGGGGCCACCGAAACAAAGAACCACAAACGAGGTGGCTTAAAACAACAGAAATACTGTCTTGCCATTCCGATGGCCAGGAACCCGAAACCGAGGCACTGCCAGGGCCCTGCCCTCTCTGAAGTGTGCAGGGGAATCCTGCTCGCCCCTTCCTGGTTTCTGGTGTTCTGCCGGCGATCTTCGGCGTTCCCTGGCGGGGAGACTCATCACCCTGCTTTCTGCCGTGACCTTCGCACGGCCTCTCCCTGTGTCTCTTCATGTCACCCTGTGTGTGTGTGTGTGTGCGTGTGTGTGTGTGTGCATGAGCCTCTGTGTTCAAACGTCTTTTTGCAAGGACACCAGACAGGTTAGACCCCCCTACTGACGACCTCATTTGAACTTGAGTACTTCTCTAAAGACTCTATTTCCAAGTCAGATGACCTTCTGCGGTGCTGGGGGTTAGAACCTCAACACATCTTTTTGGGGACACGTGATTCAACCCATAACACCACCGTCCCTCCACCCCGGGGAACAGAACTGGGTCAGAGCTGCAGAGTGTGGGGCTGGACTTTTAGAGAACGTGTCCCCGGCTGGTGGCCCTTTTCCCCGCACGAAGGCTGCTTTCTTTCTTTCTTTCTTTTTAAGATTTTATTTATTTATTTTTAGAGAGGGAAGGGAGGGAGAAAGAGAGAGAAACATCAATGTGCAGTTGCTGGGGGTCATGGCCTGCAACCCAGGCATGTGCTCTGACTGGGAATCGAACCTGCGATGCTTTGGTTCACAGTCCACGCTCAATCCACTGAGCCACGCCAGCCAGGGCACAAAGGCTGCTTTCTTTGGGTGGGAACCGTCCCTTGCAGAATATACGGGGGAGATGAATAGCTACACTTCAAGTTTCCTTTTATTCAAACGTGTTGCTCTGTGGATTTTTGCCCCTCCCCCTCCTCCTCCGGTTCTCAGATGCGGATGCTGTGGCCGCACAGATCCTGTCCCTGCTGCCCCTGAAGTTCTTCCCGATCATCGTCCTTGGGGTCATTGCGCTGATAGTGGCTCTGGCCGCGGGTCTGGGCGGTGAGTACGATTCATTATTTAGCAGGCTTTCAGCTACCTGCTCAGGCTCTTAAACTTTCATGAGCTCCCTGGCCCCTAGGTGGCCACCCGGCCTTCGTTACTGGAGGCAAACAGCGTCCGGGTTTGCTGGCTTTGAGTGTTATTCGCCTGCGTGAACGTAAGGCCGACTGGAGGCCCAGCAGGGGCTGTTGGCCACGCTCGGGGCTTCGTCACCGCGGAACCTGCCCAGTTAGCAGCGTCCAAAGGCAGCTGATGAAATAGAATCCTCGAGTGGGGGCGGGGCAGGGCTGGGGGCAGGAGACAAGGAGGCCATTCAGGCAAGGCCAAGACCGCCTGCTATTTTTAAAAGAAGGTGCCTGTGGCTTTTGAGAAAGTGAGTCATTCGGATGGTCTCCATTAGGGAACAATTTCTCATGTTCTCTCTCAAATAACTGGAATACAGATTGGTGTCATTCCCTACCTGCTTGGGTGTGTGGCCTGCAGTCCTTTCGCTTGCCGCTCTGAGTCGGCGACGGCAGGAGGCAGACAGACGGGGGGGCGCTCTCAAATCCTCACTCAGGGCTCCTTGCTCAGCTGGCCCAGCCAGCCAGGCTGCAGCCATCCACGTTCCCTCTCGACCTGGAGCCCCGCAGGGTCTAGATTCACCTCCAGGTGTGTCTCAAGGCCACTTAGTGAGACAGCGTTGGGGGCAGCAGCTGCACCCCCTGGAATTTGGAACCGACGCCAGGCTGCTGACACAGGTGCAGTGTCAGGGCAGCCTCGTTACTAGAGGGCAGGCTCAAGGCCATGGGCCGAGTGGATGGTTGTCAGTGCAGCAGCGCACGGCAGGGGCCTTTGTTTACCCTGCTGCTGCCCTCGTCTGTCCTCAGTCCACTTCGACTGCTCCGGGAAGTACAGGTGCCGGTCGTCTTTCAAGTGCATTGAACTGACGGCTCGATGCGATGGCGTCTCAGACTGCAAGGCCGGGGAGGATGAGTACCGATGCGGTAAGACCGTGCCTCTCCACTGCAGACGGCACAGGAGGGGGTCAGCACCCCCCGGCCCTGGCCTTTCCCATTGGGGAAATGGGTCCCAAGTCAATGCCAGAGTCAAGTCATGTCCTCAACTGTGATCCAACCAGCCCCCGGGACACCCTGGGCTGGGTGCTAAGGGAGGGCCGTTCCATGAAGCTGAAAATTTCGGTTGGGGAGACTCCCTGAGCCATACGAGATCTCCGAGAGCGCTCAGGGGCTCCCGGCGGCAGGCCGGCCCTGCAAGGGTGGGACGCCATGGGCAAGGGGCGGGGCGGGTTCAGCAGAGGAGGGTCTGAGCTGGCGGCAGAGGAACCTCTGCCCTGGGCTCAGGGCTCTGCGGGCCACTCACGCGTGGTCATGCCCGCGCGTCGGCCAGTCCGCGTGAGCGGTCAGAACGGCGTGCTGCAGGTGTTCACGGAGGCTGCGTGGAGGACCGTGTGCTCTGACGACTGGAAGAGTCACCACGCTACTGTCGCCTGTGCCCAGCTGGGGTTTCCAAGGTAATCTGAAGAGCACTCCAGGCGGGCGATGGGTGGACATTACTAGTGATCGTGGGGAAGAAAGACAGCTGCCATTCAGTTGGGTGCTCACAGGGTGCTTAGCCTCCTGTCACATTGCACCCTCGTGGCAACCCCACGAGGCTGGACATCACCCTCACTTTAAGGTCACAGAGAAATGGCACTTTGGGGCGTGTCTGAGGGCCAGGACAGACCCAGATGCAAACAGGAAGTAAAAGAGCTTCTGAGACGAAAGTCCTTCACAAGGACAAGACCCGTAGGTGCCTCAGGCCACAGCTGGAGTCACCTCCTGACACCACCCCGCTTGGTCCTGGGGGTCACGTCCTCATCCGTGCACACACTCCCCAAGGAGCCCCAGAGAACCAGGTGCAAACAGTCAGCAACTTGGTGAAAACACAATTATTCGAACACTGTAGTTTAGCGACACATGGGGGAAAGAACCGTTGGAGTGAAATCTTCACTTGGCACTGTTTGCCCTCGGCCGTGGGGCTTCGTGCATGGGGACGACCCACTTTCTCCTCGACGCGGGGCCTCCTTCTCTCTCCCGCCCCTTCCTTTGGTTCACGGCAGCTGCCATCTTCCACGGGAGCCCAGGTGGTCACCCTTCCCTCTTTGCTCTTGATTCTGGGTTCGGAGCAGGGAGGCTCCCGAGTTACACGTGCCTCCCAGGAAGTGAGTGCAGTGACACGGGGGAACAGGGAAACCACTCCTGTTTGTTTCCAAGGAAACGAGTTGGGTGGCGGCAGCCTCACTGCTCTGACTCCCCCAGGAGCCTCCGGCTTCAAATCTGATGGGTCGTGTTCTGTGCTCCTATCTCTGAAGCCAGTGAAACCCCAAAGGCCCCCCAGCCCGTACCCCTGAGATCTGCCTCCATCTCCCCTGGTGACTCAGAAATCAGCTGCAGTTCCAGCTCAGCGACAGCAGCAAACAGCACCCCTCAAGCGCCTGTAGACCTTCCTCTGCACAAATACAGACGAGCCACACAGACTACGCACACATCACACACAATCACACACACTATACACATGTGCACACGGAGACATACCACACACATCACCTGCACACCACAGACACATACACTCACTCACATGCCACAGACATGACACCATACACCACTTCTGTGCGTGCACACACACGCATCACACACATTCACTCACTGACATACCACACGTGCGTGCACACACCACACATGTGACCACACACATCAGACACCTGTGTGCTCACACACACACACACACACACACACTCCACCCCATCGCCACCACTAGGGTGTGTGTTCCCTATGGAGGCCCTTTTTCGGGCTCACCAGAGGGCGTCCTCCATCTTGTCGCCCCTCCTCTCCCTCTTGGGACGCCACCCCTGTCCCCTGTCCCCAGGCCCCAGGCCCCAGGCCCCTGCTCTGCTCTGCACAAAGACCCAGTCACCCCTTCCTTCTCCACCTGCGTGCTCTTCTTGAGCAGCCCTCGGGTCTCTGTCCACCCCAGCCCCCTGGTGGGACAGTCCTTCCTACGCCGACCTGTCCCTCCGGAGGGAGGTGCCCCTCAGTGTTGCCCAGTTCCTTCACTGTCGGCTCGTCCCTCTCTCCCTCGCCTGGTGCTTCCGTTCTGGGACCGGCTTCCGCGTTCTCTTTCGGTTCTTCTCTTTCTTTGGAGCCCGCCCTTGACTGCTGCTGCTCTGCTGGGTCCCACCCCATCAGGCGTGGGCCCAGGGGCCCAGAGCCTGTGCTCATGGGCGGGGCCACGGGGTGGGGCCGATGAGTCCACCACTCCAGACTGCTCCGGTTTCGGAATGTCTCAATGACACGTTGACAAGAGGAAACCATTGACGGCTTTGGGGAGCGCAGTGACGTCCCCCCAGTGTACCTGTAATAGTGTGACTTGGGCACGCTGGTGGTTTGGGGGGACACAAGGACATGTCCCCCAAGAGGACACCTGTAAAGCTGTGACCGGGGCACAAGCTGATCCAAAACAGAGAGCCAGTGTCACACCACCCCCGCGTCTCCCTGTGCTCACAGCTACGTCAGTTCAGACACCCTCAGAGTGACCCTGCTGGAGGAGCAGTTCCAAGAGGACTTCGTTTCCATCAACCACCTCTTGCCAGACGACAAGGTGACCGCTCTGCACCAGTCGGTGTACCTGAGGTGAGCGCCAGCCGGGCTGCACGGCCATCCCTCCCTTGCTGCATTTGTGCAGCTGTGGGCGGCGCCACGGGAACAAGAGAGAGCCAGGGGGGCGGGGCAAGACTGGGCGGGGCGAGACTGGGCGGGGCAGCAGCCAAGGTGGCCGGCAGAGGCAGGGAGGAGGGGGTTAAAGGAGTACCAGTGGGGTGCGCATGGTCAACGTGGTGCTGCACGTCAAAGAGTAGGTGTTGCAATGTGTTCGGAATGAAGGAAGGAGGGAGGGAGGGTAGGAAGGGGAAAATCAGGAAGAAAGATTCAGAAAGAAACATATCCGTGTTTGTTCACAAAATCCTTTAATGTGTTCCCCAACAACTCATGGGGGAGGTAAAACGAGTGTCCTTGGCTGACACTCAGGCACCTGAAGCTCAGAGGGCTTACCTGCCTGGTGGATGGAGACGCCAGGTGTGCTGGACCTGGGTTCCAGGCGCTCTTCCTGGCACCTGGACCGAGCCCCAAGGGGAGTGTGTTCCAGGTTCTGGGGGACCACGGCTCATCAGCTTGTCCATCTCATCACGGACAGCCACCCCTGGACACGCATGCGTTTCCGGGGGACAGCTAGTCTTGTGACAGGCCTGGGGTTCTGAGGGCAGGAAGGGTCACAGAGGGACCTGGTTGGCTCCGGAGAAACGCAGGGGCCCGGCTCCCACCCACGCGGGCAGAACACCTGTCATTTCCAGCGCAGACACCTCTCCGCTGTGGGAGGTGTCCTCTCCCGGGGGCGTGTCCCAGGTCGCAAGGACGTCATACCAGGGGAGCCTGCCGTCCGCCCAGCGGGCACTGCCCGTCCCCGGGGGGCGGTGAAGAGCACCGGGTAGAACAGACACGCAAACGCCCCAGTGCCCGTGACAGAGCGAGGAATGTGTCTTTGACCGTCAGCTCCACAGAGCTGAGAAACGCTCTGTGCCTGTCACTCACACAGGACCGCACTGTCGTCGAGTGGTTTTTAAAAAAAAACAATTCTGTGACATAGACTACAGCTGTAATCTGTATTCAAGAGCAAAAGAATGGAATAGGGTTTGTTTTTCTCTTCACCCAAGGTTAAGTTGAACAACGTCCACCTCACAGGCCTTGGGTGTTTATCATGAGCTCACTCTCTTTCCACTCTAGGGAAGAATGCACCTCGGGCCGCGTGGTCACCCTGAAGTGCACAGGTAAGAGTGTCAGAAGCTCGGAGGCCAATGGGAGCCAGAGCTCGCTCCCAGAGTCCCGCCCCTCCCCTCCCCGCCCCTGGTTGCCCGGAGACCCATCCTTCTAGGTGCCAGGTGGGCCCCCCTCCCTCGGAGGAGGGTGAGCTCTGTTAGGTGGGGGAGGTGGCCTGGAGTGGCTTCTCAGCAGAACACTGGACCTTGGCATGTCCTGTCCTGTCACTGCAGTGGCTCTGGGGGCTTGACTTTCTCCTCCCCCTGCCCCTCAGGGGAAAGCTGTGACAGGCTGCTCAGTGACCCAGACCCCACCCCCGGGGCAAGCAGGGGGAGGGGGAGGGGGAGCAGGCTCGCTGCGGGGGTAGGGTCTGGAGGAGTCAGGCAGCAGCACACCAGCACCCGTGCCAGTGAGGCGGGGCTGTGGGAGGCGCCCTGTGCTCCTGGGGGCGCTGTCACCGTCCCCGGCTGGTGGGCGCCTGGGGGAGGGGCCCTGCCGGCGTCAGGCTGTTTGCTCTGATGGACTCTTCCCACCGCACCCTCACAAGACACCCCTGTCCCTGATCTCCTGTGAGCTGCCCCCTCCCAGCTCTGTTCCCTGGCTGGGAGCGCTGTGCGGGTGGCAGGACGTCCGGGACGGGAAAGGTCTGTGGGATGGCCCCCCAACCCTGTTCCCCCTGGCAGCCTGTGGTCTGAGGATGGGCTACAGCTCGCGCATCGTGGGTGGAAACATGTCTTCGCTCGCACAGTGGCCCTGGCAGGCCAGCCTCCAGTTCCAGGGCTACCATTTGTGCGGGGGTTCCGTCATCACCCCGGTGTGGATTGTCACCGCCGCCCACTGTGTCTACGAGTGAGTGCTCCCGCCTCCTGGGGGTGGTCCTCGTCTCCCCCAGACCCGTCCAGCCCGGGCTCTTTGGGACAGGGTGGATGTGGGTGGTGAGCGGCAGGTCCAGAGAGAGCAGGCGACAGCACATCATCACAAGTAAAGTCCGTGTGGAGGGACCCTCCCTCCTCACCAGGAACCGCCCGCCACCCTCGGCTGCATAGATCCTAGACCTCGGCTGGTAGAGAGAAAAGGTAGGAAGAGAGGGAAGGAAGCTCTCACACAGGAGGAAACCCAGCAACATAGAGGCCTTAGACCTACCACCCCGTAGCTACCTGTGGCGGGCCAGGTTGTGCCGGGAAGGTGGGAGACTGTGCAGGGTGGGTGGGGACAGAGGCACCCTAGGGCAGTGTCTCTTTCTCTCAGGGGACATTAGCCTAGAAGAAAACACTCAGTTATTTTTGTTCCCTGTCATTTGTACCTCCCTCCGAGGTGCAGGGCAGGAGGCCGCTGCAGGCAGTGTGTGGGGTGGGTCTGTGCTTCTGCTGGGCGGGGGCGCTGCGGGGGTTTCGAACACGGGCAAGCAGGGCCGTGACACGTCGGCCACCTCCCTGGTGCTGGGCCGGGGCCTCCTGAGGTGCAGGCTGGGCTCTTCCTGCTTTACCTGTCAGTCTTCTCATTGCAGCCTGTACCTCCCCAAGTCGTGGACCATCCAGGTGGGCCTAGTTTCCCTGCTGGACAGTCCGGCCCCTTCCCACCTGGTGGAGAAAATCATCTATCACAGCAAGTACAAGCCGAAGAGGCTGGGCAATGACATTGCCCTCATGAAGCTGGCGGAGCCGCTCTCCTTCAACGGTACGCCTGGGTGTCTTTGTCGTCCTGTTGCTTTGTGGTGATGACAGCGCTTTGCAGGTGTCCGGTAACCCACCATCTGACTCATTTCGGTCTTGGCCTCACTGATTCTCTTCTCACGGAAGTGGGGGTTCTCCTGGTTCTTGGCACGATGGGATGCCTTCCATCGTGCTCTGGGTGTGCGGGTGAGTGGTCAAGGGTCACTGGTCCTATGCACATCTTCAGCTGTAGCAGGTGGCCGCCCCGATCAGGGTCACTGTGCAGGCCTTGGTGATGGTTTGGTTTTAGAGACTTTGAGGCTCTATGTTGGTCAGTTTGGTTTGCCTGGTCCCTCTGGGGCTCCCACTGGTGCCACCTTCTCCCTGGGGTGCTACCTGGAGATAAAAGGGCCGTGCCCAGGGCAGGCCACCTGGCATGCCTCTAGGTGGTGGAAGGGCGTCTCCGACCTGTGGGCATGAAGAGCTTGGTGGTGAGGTCCCCTGCCAGTGCCACTCGCGTGCCCAGTGCTTCAGACTTGGCTGATAAAGCGAGTGCGGCCCAGGCCGGCCCGCCGGTTGCAGTGCGGCCCTTCCCGCAGCCGTTTCTTTATGACCTGGAAGGTCCTGGGCATCTGCAGCTCCCCAGAATACGCAGGAACATTCTTTCTCAGTTCGGCAGGCCCTGTTTCTCTTCACATAGGAGATGTCAGGACCTGACCTCTGGAGGTCACAAAAAAAGCCACACGGGACAGAACTGTCAAACTTTTCGCACCTGCAAACAAAGCATTAGGAGCCCACTCCCACGTCAGCTGTAGCCTCCCCCTCCCTCCCCAGGGTCATGGTGGCTCCATATTGGAGCGGAGCCCTGGCTCAAGCCCAGGGGCAGGTTTGACCTCGGGGGCGGGGGGGAGGTCCTCCGCGGGCTCGCCACGTGGCGCTCCACACGCTGCACTCTGAGACAAAGGCTTCTCGAGAAACAGGGACTGACGTGGCGATGCTCGTGGGCTAATTATCAAGCATGGTATTTGACCGTACCAAACGAAGTGTCAACATTTGTACTGTGATCAAATTAAAACGGACCCTCCCCGTAGTCTTTCTCTGCCTTCCAGTATTGTCATACCCAGAGAAGCGTAGCACATGCCGGACTGTGTCACGCGAGAGTCCCGTGACAGCCGTGACACTGACTGTGGTGGGGCTTACGGGACAGCCCACAGGGACAGGCAAGCTGGCTGCCTCCAGGGCTGTCGGGACGGACAGGGATGTCCGTGGAGGTGTGTTCTGTACCACAGCCCGGCCCGGGAGTGGGCGAACTGTGGCCCACGGGCCAAATTAGACCCTTTACCTGTTTTGTAAATAAAGTTTTATCAGAACACAGCCAGACCCACTTGTTTCCCACGGCCTGTGGCTGCTTCTGTGCTGCTGTGGCAGAGCTGAGCGGTTGCCACGGAGACCACTTGGTCCGCAAAGCTGAAACTAGTTAGCGTCTGGCCCATTCCAGAAGCTATGCGGACCCCTGGCCTGGACTTGCTGAAGTAGCCACAGCCTAGGGTGGCTTTGAAGTTTTAGGGCTCTGGTGGGGGAGGGGCCCCCGCTCTGAGCTAATAGCTCTCCGATGACCAAGGTTCTTGGCCTTTCTTTGGGAGGTCGCCTGCGCCCTCAGAGCGGTGAGCGCCGACGAGATCGGTTGTGTTCCCGGGTCTGAGAGTTGTTTCCTCTCCGCACAGAGATGGTCCAGCCGGTGTGCCTGCCCAACTCCGAAGAGAACTTTCCTGACGGGAAAATGTGCTGGACGTCGGGATGGGGGGCCACCGAGGAGGGAGGTCAGTGGTCCGAGACCGAGATTCCGAGTCCAGGGAGCCCCGAACCCAGAGGGCCGGGGTAGATGTCCACACCAGCTCATCCCGCCTCCCCACCCCGTCCCAGTGTCACGTTCCCGTGGGACACCTGCGCGTCCCTGTTGGGGGCTACGAGTCCACTCAGTGAGCCGGTCACTGCGGGTCATGAGTCACGGTTCCATCTGTCCTGGGTCTCGGAATCGCAGACTTTGTCAGGAGAGAAATAAGGCATAAAGGAGAACTGTTTCTCGGCCTCCACGGGGAGACCTTCACCCACGTGCCGGGGCCTGGAGGCTCTGGGGAGGAGCCAGTTCCCCGCCCTTTCCAGATTCCAGAGGCCGCCTGCTCTCCTGGGCGTGTGGCCCCTGCTCCATCCTCACAGCCAGCAGCTCAGCGTCCTCCATGCCTCCCCCCTCTGACCTTCGCTTCCGTCTTCACGTGTTCTCCTCTGAAAGTCCCAAGGGTCCTCGTAATCACATTCAGGGTCCACCCGCATAGCCCAGGACCATGTCCCCCATCTCCCGGTCTTATCATAGCTGCAAAGTCCCTTTTGCCATGTAAAGTGACACGGTCATAGGTACTGGGGATTGGAATGTGGGTGCTTGGGGAGGCTATGTTCCTTCCGACCACCCCAAGGTTCCTCCAAGGGCTGTGTGTGACCCTCCCGAGACTCAGTTTCCCTTCTGTGACCTGGGTTGCTCTGAGAACCAAACAGGCTGGTGTGATCAAGCATTTGACCCAGGGCAGGCCCCCGGGAGGTCCGTGGTGGTGACAGCTGCCCCCCCCACCGCTCCCCACCTCGGTCCCCTTAGGGAAGAGGGGGGCTCTGCCCTGAAGCGGCAGGGCCTGTGTGGGACGTCCGTAGGGACAGAGCCCTGGGGCCGGCTGGTGCTCGTGGCAGAACCCCCACCGTGCACTCGCCGGCGTGGCCGCCTCTGCCATCCAAATATCAGAGGCGTGGCCCCAGGCCTCTGAAGTCCTCACCGCACGCCCCCCACCCTCTGACACAGGCGATGCCTCCCCGGTCCTCAACCACGCGGCCGTGCCCCTGATCTCCAACAAGATCTGCAACCACAAGGACGTGTATGGTGGCATCATCTCCCCCTCCATGGTCTGCGCCGGCTACCTGAAAGGCGGTGTGGACAGCTGCCAGGTGGGCACCCGTGAGGACCTCCAGGGGCTGTGGCAGCGGGCGAGGCGAGGCTCTGCTAGGGTGACCCTGCCCATGGGACAGGTCGCTGCCAGCATTTATTTCCCTGCGGCTGGTCAAAAAGCAAATTTACAGGGTGTGGGGAAGAAGTTTGCTCAGGATATCACATCCTTGCCCGGCCAGCCCTGTTTACCCAGCGCTCCCACTGCGCCTGGGTGCGGGGCGGAAGGTGGGGGTCCCGGGGGTGCTTCCCTCCTGACCCTGGCTCTCAGAGTCTGCAGGGGACGGGAGAGGCGGAAAGCAGGTGGGAACCTGTGGGCGTGGGCCTCCAAAGCCACAGTGGGTGGGACCCCGGTTCTGCCTGGGTCCGGAGGTCAGCGAACGCCCCTGGCCAGGGAGATAGGTCCTCCCTTGGAGAGCTCCCTCGGCTGCACGCAGCTGCCCTGACCCACGTGGGTTCGGTGTGTGGGGACTCTGGCTGGGGCGACCACCCTGAGGGATAAAGGACCCACCGCCAGGAATGCTGAGTCAGCTCTGGAAGGGCTGTACGCAGGGGGTGACCGCAGAGCCGTCCCCACGCCGGATCTCGTGATGTGGTGACAGGGGAGCCCTGCCCTGGGACAAGGGACAGCCGCGGCGGTGCCTCTTCTGGGGCCCTCAGTCTCTTTCCTTGCCGTCCAGGGGGACAGCGGGGGACCCCTGGTGTGTCAGGAGAGGAGGCTGTGGAAGCTGGTGGGGGCGACGAGCTTCGGCATCGGCTGTGCGGACGCGAACAAGCCCGGGGTCTACACCCGCATCACCTCCTTCCTGGACTGGATCCACGAGCAGCTGGAGGTGGGGGCGCGGCGCCGGCCCAGCTCACGGGGACCCTCTCAGCTCGCCTCCAGCGACCCTGGTCCCGCTGTAGAGAGCCAGGGAGGGGCCCGTGGGCGGATGATTCATCGAGCAGTGACTCGGTGGCTCTGCGGTGCGGGCTCGGATGTGAGCACCTCCACCCACCACCGGGCTCCGTGCGGGCGTGGCCCCGGTGGGGTGGGCACGGGCGGTGACTGGGTCTCCACGGAGCTGGCAAAGGAGGAGAGGCAGCCGAGAGGATGCTGGGGGTGGGGACAAGGAGAGCTGGCCCGTGCACGCGTGGAATAGAGGGTAGACGCGGGACAGACGGGGGAGGGGAAAGGACCTCCAATGCCCACTGGGGGAGGGGGTTTGGACCTTGCCAGGAGCCAGGGATGGGATGGAGAGTCTCTGACCAGGACAAGTGTGGGCAGCTGTGTGCTTTGGAAGGGCCTCCCTGGAGGGGGGGACCTGGAGCAGGGACACAGGTCAGCGAGGCTGGCAGGGGACCCTGGAGGTGGAGGGGAGGAAGAATGGGCTACTCAGGCAAAGGGCAGGAGCGCCACAGCCAACGGCAGGGGACAGGCGGCGGTGACACCGGCCCCAGGGAAGCAGGCGGGGGTGCTGCAGCCAGGCCGCCAGGCCGCAGGGGAGCTCACACAGTGCGGTGCCCTGCGCCGCGCCCTCCGGGGCACTCGGCAAATATTTGCTGACTTATCTCAGGCTCTGAGCCCCACGTCACGCTTTGGACCCGTTTCAAAGGCATGTTTAAATTTTTTTTCTTAAATTGAGACAAAATTTACATAGCAAAAGAGCGATGTAACGCTCTTTTTGAGCGTTACACTCCAACGGCATTTAGCCGTTGGGCTAAATGAACACTCCAGCAGCATTTAGCACATTCAGGGTCTGGGGCCACCGCCTCTCTCGGGTTCCAGGACGTGCCGCCACCCCGACGTGAAACCTCATCCAGCAGTCACCCCCTCCACCCACAGCCTCAGCCCCTGGCCTCCCGTATGTAATCTGCTTTCTGTTGTGCGGATCCAAGACCTTTTTAAAGGCCCCTTCCCACGTGAAACAATGGGCCAGGAAGGATAGCAGACTCCTAATGTGCCTCAGGCACCCATTTTCCACGCCTTTCTTGGGCATTGTCGCTTTAAATGAGGAGGTTCTCATGGTTCTCTTTGCACCAGGTGAGGCCCAGGCCTGGGACTTGGCGTGGTTTCCGGTCCAGCCTGCTGCCGCGCAGCTGGGTGCCCCAGGCAGGTGCAGACAGTCCCCGCCTCTTAGTGGCTGCAGGCTGCTGGCTGCTGGCTGCTGGCTGCTGGCTGCTGGCTGGGGCGGCAAATGCTGGAAGGCGGGCGCTGGGAAGCCTCGGCTGGTGCTCATTGTGTTGCTAATGGGCAGCCTGGCCTGGTGCTAAGCTCTTCAGCACAAAATTCAGCCGCTACCCATCCGCCTCTAACAAAGTATCAGAGAAGGTGGATGAAAGAGCAGCTCCTCAATGCAGTGGCCTCGATGGCCCTTGAGCCGGGAGGTGGGGGCCTGGGGCATGGACAGGGGTGTGGGCGTGGTGGGTGCAGGGTAGGAAGGCAGGAGCAGTCAGGCCCTCTACGGGGATGCCCGCGACGGCTGGGGGTCAGTGTGGCCAGGCTACTGATCATGAAAGGTGAACTTCAAACAGGTGCGGTTGGCAGAAACCAGCCCCCAGTCGTCACGCTCTGGAGTGGGGCTGGGGTGGGGCAAGCTCCCCAAGCCCCCTGGGGAGCCTTCTGACCGTGGTACCGCATGATGTCTCGGCCCGTTTCCCCCAGCATCACCCTGGGTGGCAGGTCCTAGGACGGGCCTCCTGTGACAGGGGAGGGGACCTGTTTAAGGCCCCAGAGACTTAAGGGCCCTTGCTTAAGACTCCAGCCCCGGCATATGCTGGGCAGATGCACCGGCCATTCTCCAATGTAGGGGTGCACATGGCTGTCCTGGGTTGTTTGTGACCACTGAACCCCACCCCAGGAGCCTTCTCCAGAGGGCAGGGTCGGGGGTGCAGGGTGAGGGCCCTGGTGACCCGGATGGTCCAGGTCTTCAGGGCGCGCTTCGAGAACACACTCTCAGGCCACGTGGCTCCCCATCAGGCTTAGGAAGCGCTTCCACCCCCCGCCCCGTGGCACTGGAGGAGCCGCTTTGTCTCTGACAGGTGTGTGGCCCTCTTGACACCCAAGAGCATCGCTGCAGCCTCCGGCCCGAGGAAGGCCAGCATGAGCCTCACCCTTTTGCCCGTCTCTCTTCGGGTGTCCCCAGGGGAGACCCAGGGAGGCTCCCTTCCCGTGAGAGCTTCCCCAAGGTGTCGGCATGGCCGGCTGCTCCTTCGGAACGTGGACGCCAGGGCCCTTCGAGAGCTCACCCATTTTTTATTGTTTTTTTTTCTGTTACCATTTAGTCCCCTTATACTCCCCTTCCCCACCCCACCGTCACCACACTCATGTCCATGAGTCCTTTTGCCTTTTTGCTCTACCCTCCACCCTCCACCCTTCCCCCGACCTTAGCTGTCAGCCCGCTCTCTATCTAGGAGTCTGTCTCTGCATTGCTTGCTCGTCCCATGTGTTAATTTGATTCCACAAAGGACTGAAATCATGTGGCATTTGTCTTTCACCGCCTGGCTCGTTTCACGTAGCCTAGTGTTCTCCAGGTCCATCCGTGCTGATGCGAAGGGTAACGCTTCCTTCCCACACCTCTTGAGGGGAATTAATTGCCCATTCATTAGCCCACGGGACTTGCTGCTAGATCACCTTCGTTTCCTCCACTGGTTTCCTCTGCCCACTGGGGCTTCACACAGAACTGCTCCGGCCCAGGTCGCGACTTGGGAGCACGAAGAGAAAGCCGGCAGGCGGGGCGGTGCATGCCCCCGGGGTGGGGGGAGGGGGGAGAGCTGTGTCACTCTCCTCCGGGAACGCTAGTCGGGGGTCTGCGCCGAGGTGGCAGCCCCCTGCAGCCGAGGCCCCCCCCGCTCCGCCCCGCAGCCGAGGCCGACCCTGTCCCCACTGATCGTGGAGAGCAGCGGTCCTTCACTCGGGATCAAGTGCAGATGCCCCCTTGCCCCCAGTGTGTGCTGGAGAAGGCGCCTGTGTTTCTATTTCCAGAGGGACCTGAAAACTTGAAGAGCAAGGGGACGAGCCACCGCGTTGAGCTCCTGCCACAGTGGAGACGTCCCCGTCCCTCCATGGATTCCCGGCTGGGAACTTCGGACGCGAGCGAGTGCCTCCGGTGCTCGGCTTCCGGGCACCACCGGCAGCGCCGGAAGGCGGGGCGTCCCTGCATCTGGAACCATTTGCTTCTAACATGTCGGACGGGGTACGGGGCCGTTGGACTAAAATGACCTTGAAGTGCCTTTCTGACCCTCCCTAAGAACAAAGACAGGAGCGCCTGTGAAGTGCTACCCTTTCCCATCGTCGATTAGGTTTTCTCTACCGCCGCCCTCCAGCGCGAGTGACCACACCAGCAAGCCTGCCACGCAAAGCCACGGACGGTCCAGCTGCTCGGGGGCGGGGGTGGGGCCGGCCCAGAGCCGCAGACGCCCCCGCACCCACCGTTTACCCCTGGGCACCGGAACCCAGCGCAGGTGTCCGAGACCTCTGCACGTGGGAACTTCATCTCCAAATGACTAGTTTTAAGGTATATTTCTATCCTATTTTGTAGCACTCGGTGCCTGGTGTATCAGCGTCCCTCGCTTCCACGGGACACGGGCCTCGGGCACTTGGAGCTGGTCTGAGTGTCTGCCCGCCCGTGCACACTGACTTCATCAGCTCGGTCGCAGACGCTCGGTCACGTGGCTCCCCCCTACCCGCCCCGTGGGGCTTGCCTATCCCTGTCCGAGCAGGTTTCTCCGCAGATCAGAGCGACCTCCTGCTCCGTCAGGAGACCCAGAGCAGAGGGAGAAACCAGGTAGTGAGACAAGGACCACCTCACCCCGAGGACGTTGGGTCCTCAGGCAAACAGAGTGGACCAGGGGTGTCACATTCATTGTCACCAGGGGCCACATCAGCCTCGCGGCTGCCTTCAAAGGGCCAAATGGAACTTTAAGACTGCATAAATGTAACTACTCCTTAACAGTTAAGTGAGCGCTCACGCTGCCACCTGGTAGAGACAAGGTGCCGGCAGATAAAACAAGGTGGAGGGCCGGATTTGGCCCGCGGGCCTTGTGTTTGCCACCTGTGGAGTAGACGGTCCTGTGTCACTACGAGGCCATAGGTTCCGCACCCCTCTGCAGGCACCTGCAGGGTCAGAGACTCCGCCCTCTGTGACCCACATACCTGTAGTCCCCACAGCGCACAGAGGTTACTCGGTAGGTAACCAGCGTGGTGCTTTCTCACCTACGAAGGCGTGAGAGTGGGAATGTGCCCCTTTGCCTGGAGGCAACGGTGGGGAAGGGGTGAGTGTCTCAGCAGCGGCTCCGGGGACCCTCCTGGGCGGTCTGAGGCGGAGAGGGGGATGCGGGAAGGAGCGGGGGATCCCATCCCGCAACCGTATCGGATGAGGCATCATGTCGCCCTGCCAGAGTCGCTACACGGGCCTGTGTGTGTGTTGGAAGGGACGAGATATTTTCATTTTAAGTGGTTTTGCTTGGGTCTCTCTGAACGTTGTGCTAGCTCATGGACTGAAGATCCCGGGGTGAGAAGACACTCCTTCTGCGTGACAGCAACCTCAGCTGAGAAAGCCTGACTGAGGGGTCCGCGGGCACGCATTTCTCACCTGTTTCGGTGTCATTTGTCGTCTTTGGTCACTGCTGCCGTTCCTGAGGACACGGCTGCTGGCTTGCAGTCAGTCTTCTCCCGAGGGGCCTTGGGTGATGCCGTGGCAGGTGGTTTTAATCGGTGTGTACCATGCCCCCGGCACCGCTCTTCGTGGGGTTCGTCTGTTCTCGTGTTTAACGGTCACAAGCACCCCGCGAGACAGCTCTCGGAGTCCCGTCCTGCAGGAGAGGACCCTGCAGTGTGACAGTGGAGTGGCTTTCCCAAGGCCCGCGGGGCACTCAGGACTTGCACCCAGCCCGTCATACCAGCAGGAATTAAAGCAATTAGCTAATTGCAAAACTACACTCCTTGGTGCTTGCGGCGCCTGTTTGAACCCCTCTGAGACATGTTCGTCATCCGAGTTCGTGATGCGCTTCTCCTTCCTCCAGAAACGTTTGGGGACAGCGGCCGGCTCAAGCGGCAGCGCCGTGGCGGGGCTCTCTGTTCCTTTTTCCACAGACTCACGCGTCATGGCCAGGCCGGGCGGGAGCCCGAGGAGAGAGTCACGGCTCCAGCATTGCTGGCGTGCGGCCTCAGAAACAGCCAGCACCGCGGGCCGCGTGCAGCTTGGGCTGCTGCCCTGGTGGCCTGGACCTGAGGCCAAGTTAGTGAGTGAGGGGGCCTCCCTGCCCCTGGACAGCCAGGAGAGGACCGTGGGAAACACTCTCTCTCTAGTACTGCACCATGGTGTGTGATATGGCCTAATTTCAACATTTTTAAACAACTATAGAAGGCCTAATGATAGCATAGACAGTTTGGGGGGGAAAGAGCATTAAACATTGGCCAGCAACTCAAATGCTGTCATTGGCCACGAAAACTGTGCCTTGCCTGCCTCCCTCTTTTGAGAGGATATCTTCCGGCTGGGCTCCGAGACACCTGCTGACGCCTGTCCCCTCCCCTGGAACGATGCAGGAAGGCCCTCGGAGGTCTGGGTGTGCAGACCTGTCGCCTGTCACAGGCACCCACCCAAGGGGGGCCAGGCGCAGGCCCATCGTCCTGCTGGCTGTGTCCAAAGGCTGGCGAGGACTCCCACCCAGCACAGCAGCCCGGGGCCGGGGGGTTCGTGGGCTGGAACCTTGTCCCTTCAAACAGGGCGGGATGCAAAGCCCTGATGACCTGGCCTCCAGCCTCGGGGAGGCTCAGGGACGCTCAGGGACATGGCTGTCATGTGGAAATAGAGGGAGGACCGAGAAGAGCGAAGTCCCTACTATGTGGCACTGAACAGCACTGGCTCCAAATCCGTTGATTTAGACACGTTTACCTGTTGGGCCACCTTCTCCCCACGGCGTGGGAAAGAAACCTCCCCAAGCTGCTGCTGTCCGGGTGACTTGGGACACATGCTCTCTGTGTCTGCAGGGGGGCCGGCCACACCCAGCACACCCAGCCACCCCCCCCCCCCCCCCGCCGTGCACCTGCCCCCGGGCGACCTCTGCAGGCGCGCCACATTCAGGTTCACGCACCTCTTCCGTGTTGCCCAAACAACCTGGATTTTCCTGCAAATCTGTGGACCCATAGAAAGAAGCTGTTCTTCAGGCTCCTCTAGGATGTGGTCTGTGTGTGTGTGCATGTGCGTGCGTGCACATGTGTGTGTGCGTGTGCATGCGTGTGTGTGTGTGTACACACGTGGTGGCCCTTCCGTTGTGCTCATTTATTTCTGTGTCTGTCTGTCTGAGCCGGGAGCTCCCCAAGGTGGGGCCGTGCTCGTCCTCCGTCACCTGTGATGCCAGTGCCTGACCCGGGGGGTGGGGGGCCGGAACTGCGCGTGAACACGGGTGGATGAATGGTGACAACAGGAGAAACACGCCACTTAAATGGACTTGGGTCCAAATTCTGTTGTTTCGTGAGCCAGCACACACTTGGTTTGGGAGGGGGTGTTTACAATTTAACACCGTGATTGGTTCTAGGAAGTCTCTGCATTTGTCCCCTTACAAGTACAAAAAACGACTCTGTGAGTGAAAATCATGACATCACCGTTGCCACCCTGCTTTCCGGTCTGCCCTGGAGTGGCCATAGTCACGTGATAAAATACGACTCCAAGTCTCATTCACAGCAAAGTGGTCCGAGTGACATCCCTAGGGGGTGAGAAACCGCAAAATGGAGGAGTTTTCTTTAAAGATGAAAAGAAAACAGTAGCCATGGCCCTGACAATCCATCCACTAGGAATCGGTGTCACAGGTTCAGAGCCGGGGAGAGGGACTCTGAAGACACATTTTCTCTAAAAGTGATTTTTGACTTTCCCCCTCTGTTCTTTCCTCTTCAGCTTGGGTGCCAACTAGAAGCCCCGCCCTCCCTCCTTTCCGGGAGAGGTGGGGGCTGCAGGGGGCCTGCAGGGAGAGCTGGGTTTGCTGCCGCCCTCGCCACCAGCCCGGGGGTGGGGGGGGCCCTCGCAGACCCCTCTGTGCCCAGGGAGAGCTGGTGAACGGACGTGGCGCCGGCACCTGCGCGGTGCGCTCTTCTCTCTGTCACCCGTCCCCACCAAGGCGGTCACCTGCAGGCAGGGTCGCTGGGCAGGAGGTGCCCGAGTCAGAGCGTCAGACTTCGTATACACGAATGCTTCCCGGCCCAGTAGTAACACGTCACACTCACTGCCTGAAAGCCCTGGCGAGCAAAAATACTTTCACAGCCAGAGGCTTTTCTGAAAGAAAGGGTTTCCTGAGCCCCACGCCCGCCAGAAAGGGACCAGGGCCAGGGGCGTGCAGTCCGAACCACCGGCAGCAGGGCTGGGTGGAGGGCACAAGCCTGCCCCTCATCCTGGACCTGACCGGAGCTTTGATGGCAATGGGCCGGGGGAGAAAGGCATAACCTGCTCTGGTTACAGCAAGAGTTTCCACTGGCTGTAGATAAAGCGGGTGGGTGGGAGAGGGGGCAGCGGGCAGTGCTGGGCTAGGGGCATGAGCAGAAGGAAGACGTGTTGGCTCCTTCGGACCAGTGGTCACAACAGCCCGGAAAGTTCTGTGACACGTAAGCAAGAGGCAGAGGCTGCGGGGGGCTGGGGGTGCCTGGCTCTTTTCTGTAATCGCGGAAACAGCCCCCCGGGAGTTAATGCAGAGCTCCGGCCCCCACTCAGGAATGCGGGCAGGGTTTTGTTGGCTTTGCTCTGCTGTTGCGAACTGACTAACCTCCCTGGCCTCTTCCTTGCTCCCTCCGGCCCGCTGTAATTTCATTTAGAGCATCGCAGATTTTTTTTTTTTTTGTCGTCACACCAGAGGATAAGACAAGGAAAGGGATGGGGCAGAATCAGCAACAGTCTCTGGGTCGAGCTGCCCATTGGTTCCTCGTACCGAGAGCCTTCTTCAGAAGGAACCTAGAAACTTCCCAGGTCTGGCCACCAGGTGGGGCCTGGGGAGGGCAGCCACATCTACCCACTCCTTCTGGTGTCTGGAAAGTTCCAGATTGTTTCCCAGAGGGGTGGAGGCCAGCGGCCTCCTGGACCTCTGACCTTGGTGCCATATCCCCCCTTCCAGAGCTAGAGCTCCCCGGGGTGGGCAGGGGGGAGAACACGGGAGTGTGGAGGGCTGGCCACTGCCAGGCCATACCTGGGGGTGCCCACCCGAGTCACAGCCAGCCACAGGAAGTGGGCGAGACCGCAGGCAGGCATCAGGGCCCCACGGCGAGCGTCGGCCTGCGGCTGGGAATCGTGAGAACGCATCTGCGGCCCTGGCTTCCTGAAGGCCCCGGCAGGAGCTCCCCAGGGGGTCCTGTGTGAGTTGGGGTGGGGTGCAGTCATGCCCCGGGGGAGGGGCGGCAGGGCTGAGGGTGCGGTTCAACCACTTCCGGGCGCGTTCTCACTCCCAGGAAGCGCGACTTCTGGGTAATTTACACGGGTATGGAATCTTGTCCTTTCCTCAGCAGGACGGCTCACCATCGGTCCAGGCCAGGTGGAGCCTCCTCATGCCTGAAATAAAAAATGTACCCATGCCCTGGCTGGCGTAGCTCAGTGGGTTGAGCTCGGACTGCGAACCAAAGTGTCGCAGGTTCGATTCCCAGTCAGGGCACATGTTTGGGTTGCAGGCCATGACCCCCAGCAACCTCACATTGATGTTTCTCTCTCTCTCTCTCTTTCTCCCTCCATTCCCTCTCTAAAAGTAAAATAAAATCTTTAAAAAAAATTTTTTTAAAAAATGTACCCACACACCTGTGTCTGGGGTGGACGTGGATTGAAACTGACCCAAGAGCCACCTTGAAGGGCTCCATCAGGGTGGGGCGGCTGCAGGAGGGACATGCGGGTCACGGGAGCAGGAGGCTTTGGGCTGGACCAGCCAGTGCTCACGGTCCAGAGAGGTGAGGCAAACTCCAGCCAGCGCCGGCAGGAGGCGGGCAGGACCGTGGTCAGCGTCCCGGGAGCCTGCTCACCACGGGACTGACGGACAGATTAGGGAGGGAAGGCGCAGTGCTCACACTCACCCCGGGCTCCCCGGGACCCACGCCGGGAACGAGCAGGTGAGTCCCACGCTCACCTGCTGGGAGGACCAGGGCTTCTTCGTTCAGCCGAGGGGGCGTCCTGCTGAGTGTTGGAGACTTAGGTAACCGTAGGTTGGCAGAGTCAGGGGGTCGGCAGGGATGGCTTGGAAGTGAGGAATTAGGTCTCCACTTCTCCATCTGTCACTCCTGGTTAAATTCCCAGGACCCACCGTTAAGACCGAACAATGGTTTTGCAGCCTTGAAGAGGCGTTGGGCCCTGGCTCCACCACCCCGGGCTGGGCAAGAAGGGTGGGGAAACTCGAGCTTGGTGAGTCCTGGAGGAGTGTGGGGGGAGGGGTGTCAGGGGATGCTCCTGTTTTTACCATTGCTGGACCCAGGGGCATCCTGCTCCCTTCAGGGGCAAGGCTGCATCTCACCGGCATGTCCCGAATGGGCGTCTGGGTGGGACGAGGACTCACTGGGTGGGAACGGGCGGCCTCAGTCGTGGGGTTGCTGGAATCTAAGAGATAACAGGCAGCTCGCACCAACCCCACTCCTGTGTTTGACTTCAGGGAAGGTAGGAGGAAGCAGGTCGTGGGGCGGGTGTGGCCGGGGTGGAGCCCCTCCAAGGTCAAATACAGCTCTGCGATTGACGCATGACCCACCGACTGGGGGGGATGGGGGAACGCTCCTCCTTCTTTCTCTTTGGCAACAGCAAAACCACTGCATTTAATTTTTTAAAAAATACAGTATTTTTCAACGACAAAGTGATTGCTCACTGCAGAAGCATTTCGGTGGCTAGGAAATGGGCTCCAAGAAAAATGGCGTGGCATCCTTCCGCCGCTCAGTGACACCCATTGGTGCAGCTTCTTTCTTCTCGTTTTTCTCCTGAGCTGTTTGTAAACTTCTGTCCCGTTCTCTCCACTTAACACTAGAGTGTGAACATTCTCCAGGCTCTTACAAACTGCACAAGACGCCGCCACGGGTGGTGGCCGAGCACCTCATCGGGCAGCAGCACACCGACATTTGTTACCGACCTTCCGCGGTTGGTGATTTGGTTCTATCTGCCATGCTTTACAACCGCTGAGATTTCTTGTGATGACATCTTTGTGCAAAATGATTTTTCTGTGTTTAGGATTCTTCCTTTAGGGCGACCCCCAAAGTAGAGTTGGTAGGTCAGAGTGTGCGCCCTTTCTCAGGCCCCCAATGCAAGGTGCCGTGCTGACTACCCTAAGGCGAGCTGTTCCAGGACAGATCCGCCACATATTGCCGGGGATAATGGGCCCTTTTCGTCCAAATTTCGAGGGGAAAAATAAGGATGCGCATTATACATGGGTAGTACTAATTCCATATCTATATGTTTTCAATTCATTTATTTATGTTTATGCATTAAAAGTGTAACTCTAGAAAAACCCAACAATATCCATATGCAAAAGGTTACCTCGGAACATGATAATTGGTTTTATTTCTAAAAATAAATAAATAAATAATTGAATTAAAAATTAAAACAGCCCTGGATGGTGTAGCGCAGTGGATTGAACATGGGCCTGTGAACCAAGGGATCGCTGGTTTGATTCCCAGTCAGGGCACATGCTTGGGTTGCAGGCTGCATGAGATGTAACCACACATTGATGTTTCTCTCCCTCTCTTTCTCCCTCCCTTCCCTCCTCTCTAAAAATAAATAAATAAAATCTTGAAGACAATAAAAATTAAAACAAAAAGTGTTTTCTTTTTCTTGAAAGTTTGGGCCAAAAACATGGGAGCACATTATATATGGCACAATGCGGTAAGTTCTGTTTCACCTGACTCTCAGCAGCACTGAATCTTCTATTTAAAAAACAAAATCAGACAATTTGATTGACCTGCACATTGCGATCATTTTAAATTATTTGACTACTAATAATTTTTTTCGCCTTCCCTATAATGTAGTCACTTGCACGTTGCCTTCTGAGAAATCCACGCTCACGCTCTTTGCCTCTTTGTCTATTGGAGTTCTGGGGTTTTAAAATTCAACCTAAGTGAGCCTTTTATATCTTAAAGTTTTTAAACCTTTGTTCATCATATATACTATAAATGTTCACAGTTAAAAATGTTTTATATTCAGCCCTGGCTGGCATAGCTCAGTGGATTGAGCGCGGACTGGGAACCAAAGTGTCGCAGGTTCGATTCCCAGTCAGGGCACATGCTGGGTTGCAGGCCACGGCCCCCAGCAACCGCACATTGATGTTTCTCTCTCTCTCTCTCTCTCCCCCTCCCTCCCTTCCCTCTCTAAAAAAAAGTAAAATCTAAAAAAAAATTTAAAAAAAATTTTTATATTCAGCCCTGGCTGCTGTGGCTCCGTGGATTGAGCGCCGACTGGCCCGTGTGCCGGAAGATCGAAAGTTCGGTTCCCCGTCAGGGCACGTGCCTAGGTTGCGGGCCAGGTGCCCATTCGGGGGACAACAGGAGACAGCAGGTTGATGTTTCTCTCCTCTCTTTCTCCCTCCTCTCCCCTCTCTCTGAAAATAAATAAATAAAAATCTTTAAAAATTTTTTTATACTTAAGTTTAAAATATTTTACTTAGTTAAATTGGCTCTCCACCTGTGTGTGTTATATACATTTAGATGATTTCTGTTATTGCTACAAGGCTTAGAAATACCTAAATCTTCCAGGAATTAGCTAAGTATTTATTGCTATTTTCTTTAACTTATGTAAAACAGCTGCTACAGCCACTGCTTGGGTTTCTGGCCGAGAGGCCGAGGTCTGTGCTCGGTGGTGGTGGGGGTCGTAGCTCCTTCCCATTTTCTGCCCCGTTGTCACTGCTCTCACTGCAGCTGGGTGTGGTTGCTGGCCTGCGGCGGTGATAATGACCCAAGTGTTGACATCAGTGGGGGCTGAGCCTGGACGTGTATTTACTGGGCTGCCTCGGTTTTCCATGGGCCAGGACCATGCGGTGAGAAAGCACCCGCAGGAGCCCCAGTGACTCCCCTGGCCACAAGCATTGTCTTCCTCACCTGGTTCGGTGGCCGTAACACAGGTCTCCCTTGGCACCTAGGACCAATCCCTCCAGCCAACGGTCCCCCTCTGACTGTTGGTTCACTGGCATGGGGGGCGGGGCCCAAGGGTGAGTCTCCCCTGCTGGGTCAATGGCCTGAGTCTCTCTTGGACAACAGCTTCTAATGGGTGAGAAAGACCACAGCCGGCCACGGGGAAGGGAAGCAACACTTCTCCCAGCAGTTACTCCGTTCAGTTATAAGGAAGGCCACTCCTACTCCTGGTGTTTGCTTTCTGGGCACGTGCACACGAGTGGGGAAGGAGCCCTGTGTCACTCTGGTTTCAGGCTTTTGCTGAACTGGAATCCACCCACTGGCTGCTGAGCAGATGAGCCTGCTGTTCTGTTGCGCTATCTGCTCCTGGGTCATCTGCAAAGGTCTTACATCCAAGTAAGGTCACACTCACAGGTCCTGGGGTTCAGCACCGTTTGGGGGACACAATTTAACACGTAGCTCTGGCAACTGGTCCAGCTCATTACATGCTCATTAATGACCCGGGAAGGCTCATTACATGCACTGTGGCCTCGCAGTCAGGCCCTTCCTCAAAGGGACTGGGCCTCTGCTCTTGCTTAGGGACTGAGTCATACATCATCACCTCTGGCCTCCGAAGGCTGGAGATGCCACGGGACTTGTGAAGGGTGCTGCTGGCCCCTCACTGGAGAGGTGGGAGCACCCACAGGCAGTCCTGGGTGGCTGAGAAGGGTGTACAACACAGACCCACTCCCACACTGAGGCCTCCCTGAGTCTGGGATGCCTCCGCGGCTGCAGCACCAGCTCCCGCACTGACCATGCGTGTGGAGCACCTGGGAACTTGCCAGAATGCAGATTTGACTCCATGGAGTCTAGTGGGGAGTGTGTCCATCAAGATCCCGGGGGTGGGATTCTGCCAGCCCACCTTGAGTCAGGAGGCGTCCATGTGTTGAGTTGGGTGGGGGGGGTCCAGCATGAACTGTTGGTCATGAAAATACTGGTACAGGTGACCAACTCGTTACATCGGACCAGCGCTCAACTCTGTGTGGCGCTGAGTCTTCCCCGGGTTGGCATGTTTGAAAACAGGGCACATATGGCTGTTGCCGGATCTTGTATTAGTGTCGCGGGTCCTCCAGGGGTACCACCCACACGGGAGGGCAGAGTCGGACCCTTGGAGGTTCTCTCTCAGCTTCTCCCCCAGGAGGTAGGAGCTGGGCCTTGCAAGATCATTGTTCACACAGAGAGATGATGCAGCGCACACCCGTGAACCTGCGCCTCCCCCGTAACTTCACAGGCGCCAACCTTTGCCCCACACACCCTTCAGGTTTTCTCAACGAAAGAAAACATCACACTTAAGTTGAGGGCCCTTTGCGCCCTCCCTGACCCCATGTCCCTTCCTCCCTCCTTCCCACACGGGCCCCTTATGCAGAGGTCAGAGGTCAGAGGTCCCCTTCCCGTCTCTGTCGTTTTCACTGTATTTCATCTGGGTGCCGTTCTAAGAGGATGTTGTATGGTTTGACATATTTTGGAAATCTGCACCATAAATGATACCATACTTTGTGAAGCATTCTTATCTTCTTAATTTGTTTTCAATATTTATCCTTTTTATTATTTATTTATTCTTTTCCATCTTCTGCAAGGTATCCTACACATGTATATGGTATATATATTATACATACATACACTTTAGGTTCTTTTTCTCTTTCTTCTGGTGATGAATGCTTATGAAGAGTTATATTGTTTCCTTCCTTCCTTCTTTCCTTCCCCCTTCCGTCCTTTCTTTTTCTTCCTTCCCTCCATCTTTCTTTCTCTTTATTCCTATTTTCTCTGCTATTCTTTTCTTTTCTTTTCTAAAAAGCTATGCAAACAATGCTGCAAAGACGCTCCTCATCTATGAGAGAAGTGAGCAGGGCAGTTCTGCCCACCGTGAGCATTGCCCAGGTCTGGCGGCCCCACTGTTCCTGGCACAGTTCCCACCCCCCACAGAGCACTCTCCGGGCCCTGGTCCTTCCCCGGGTCCTGCACGTCAGGTGGTTCCAGCTCGGGATTGGCAGCCCCGGAGGGCAGGGGCCGGCTGGGCCAGGAGTGAGGAAGAGTGTGGTGGCACTAGTCGACCGGGAGGGGCTGCAGCTCCCCTAAAAGTAAGTACCTCTCCCAGATGAGATTCACTTGCCTCGGAGCCTAACCTCTCACTGCAGACACATATCCCTTTACTCATTCACTCATTCTCCCGTGGCTACGTATTGAGTCAGGCCCCATCGGAGGTGCTGAGGCCACGCAATGCACAAGGCAGATGAAGCGCCCGCGGCACGGCCCTCCCACCGTTACGAGAGGGTGAGCAAATGGGAAACACACTCGTGCGTGTGAGCAAATCCCTCTGCACATCCAAAGGTAAAAAGAACCACGAAAGAGGAAGAGCCAGAGCAGGGCAGATGCCTAGGGCCGCCGGGGTGAGGGGGTTTTTGTGATGCTCTCTCCTGGGGGGTCTCCCTGGGAGGATGTACCGGACCCCACAGATGCGGGGAGAGGGATCCCGTTACAGGGGAGAGCGCCCCCACTTTATCAGTTTCCATGTCTGCTCCTGTGGACACAGCCTCATTTTCTAAAGGAAAAAGGAAAGGAAAGAAATGAATTTAGATAAGTAAGTAAAAATGCCCACTCGTCCCTGAGAATAAGAGGCCAGTGCCAGCTGGCCCGGGAGCCCCCTCCGTGCAGGCACGGGTCCTCGGTGGGGGATGTGCTCTGCTCTCACGCGAATTCGCCAGGGAAATGCCTAACAAGGCACCGCCAAGGGAGAAAATGTGAAGTTTGAAGTTCAAGTCCCGGGCAGAGGACGTGGGGAGGGGGCAGGCCCGTCGTTCTCCGGCTCGCCTTGTCCGGGCGCAGTTCCTCCCCCGGCACCCCAGCCTCGGAGACACAAGCTAGTTGAAAGGGACGGTGTGCCCACAGGGGAAGGACGAGGCCAGGCAGGCGGGCCTGGTCTCGTCCTTCTCCTCCCCCCTGAACTGTGTGGCGGGGACCCCGTGAGCCACTGTTGACACAACTGTGCCTTTCGTGGGCCATCTCCCGCTGTGAATCACTTCCCAGTGGGTGTGATGTTGACATTAGCCGATACGGGTGGGACCCGGGCCGGGTCACGACCCGAGGAGACTCCCACGGATAAGGGCACGTTGTGCCGACTCTCACACCCCGCACCGGGATGACTGCGCCACGCGGTCTCCTCTATCAACAGACTCATGCGCGTCGCTTGCCCGTGTTTGGGAAACACCTTTTAATCAGTGCAGATTACTTGGCGTGAAAGGCGTTGAGACCCTCCTTAGGCAAATGGAAGGCTCTTTCGGCAAACAGAGCCCGGGCTTAAAATCGAGGGTTCCGACGGGTTCTCACCCCTGACTCGTAGTCCCCGGGGAGCGGAGAAGAAGGTCGCCGCCACCATGGAGCCCAAGGTGATCTGTGTCCTGCTCCTGGTCTTCTCGCTGGCCCTCAGCGCGCAGGCTCAGGGCCAGGCCGGTAAGACAGCCCCTTCCTGCTTCTGGGTGGCCGCGGAGAGCTAGTTCGATGGGGTCTTCGCTTCACAGTGCAAACCTTGGGGCCAAGTGCTGCTCCAGAAGGCAACAGCAGGTGGTGACAGCATCGGGGTTCAAGGTCAGCGAGCCCTTTGCAAACTGCTGGGAGGAAGAAGATTCCTTCCAGCACCAACACTGGAATATTAGGCTCTTCTTCAATACCGCATTTCAAAGAGCAAGCTGTGATGGAGGGTGTAAGAACAGCACTTCTAAATGTCCCAGACAAACTCTACCTCAGGGTGTGGACCCACTCAAAGTGTCCACAGGTGTCCAAGTGCCTGCTCCGTGGGTGGGCATCCCGAGAACCTCTCTGGCAGGTGTGTGGCCTCTCCTGGGCCCCATGTTCGGGGGAGCCCCACCCGCCTGTCCCATTGGTGCATGATCAATATTAGTCCACGGGCGTCACTCAGGGAGAGAGGGCACTATTGCTTCCTCCGAACCTGTTGTGTTTTGATGCCTTTGTCTCCAGAGCGTGATCAATAGTCCGCCTTAGAGGGTGGCCATGGAAATTCGGTGTGACGATGTCTGTGAAAAGTGCTTTGTAAGCTCCAAAGTGCTCAGGAAACATCACTTCTCACTGTTAGAATGCTTCACCCGATTTCACAAAGGAGTAAATGGGGGTGCCCTGCCCCCTCCGTCTAGGAAGGGTGTCCCGCATCCACCCGTCTCTGGAGGGCCTGTCTCTCCCAGCGTCCGATGCCCCCATCCAGCCCCGCTGTGGCCACCTCTGCCCTGACTCTCGGTCCGCCCGTCTCTCTGGCTCTCTCCTCCCGCTTCTGCTCAGGGTCTGTTCTGCCCCTTTGCTCTCCATGCCCCCGAGGCCTCACGCCTCATCCTCCTTGTCTTCGTGCTCACGGTGCACAGCCAGGAGCGCCTCTGAGCCCACGTGACAGGAAGGGATACTCCCCCCCTCCTCTGCCCCCCACTGCAAGACAGAAACAGGGAAGCAGCTCCAGACGCCCCTTCCATTCCCTGCCTCGGCCCGCCGAGTCTGCCTTCTCAGAGCCCTAGCCCCCGGCCCCCACCGCAGAGCCTGCAGACCGCGCATCTGGACCTCGTGGGAGCTCTTGGCTTTGGGTCACTTCATCGCTCCCCCGGGGAGAGCTCTTGCTCCTGGGCTGAAACCGTCGACCCTAGGCCCCAGCTCGGCTCCTCCCAGACCACCCCCACCCCAACCTCCACGTCGTACCCTCGAGTCGACTTACACCTCCTCGAACCCACTTGCTTTCCCCCTTCACCGCCACTGAACACGCAGCTCCTCTTGCTTGGAACACCCACTGCCTCATCCTCATGGGGTTAGCCCCCTCCTACGGGAAGTGCTCCTTGCTTGGCTCGGGCTTGTTGTCCATTGTCCGTCCTGTGCTTGCCCTGGACACACTGGGATGGCTTCACTGTGCTGTTTTATACACATACTTGGCTTTCTCCTCTATCCGACTTCTGGTTTCTTGACGAGCATGTCTCTATTTTTGCTTTCCGGGGCCCCACCACCTGCCAGAGAGCCTGGCATGCGCTCGATTTCTGAGGGACCCGCGCTGCCTGTTTCTGCCGTGCCAGCTCCTGTTTCTGGCACACACACCCGGCGCTAACAGGTGTATAGCGACTGAGCAAGTTTAGTAACTGTTGAAACTAATGAGCACTTGAATAAGTTGTTCGGTTAGGGGCAAGGCTCGACAATCCCAGACCTTGCGTTTTCCCTGCCGCTACATGTTTTCATGTCAGGAAATGAGGACAGGGTGTCCCTCGTGGACCCCGAGTCCTGGGCCAGGATCCGCCTACGACTGACCTTCGCCTCCTGCCTGGTGCCCTTTCAGAGACATGCGCAGTGGCCCCGAAACAAAGAGCAAATTGCGGCTACCCCGGTGTCACGCCTTCCCAGTGTGCAGAGAAGGGCTGCTGTTTCGACAACACCGTCCCGGGCTACCCGTGGTGCTTCTACCCCGGGAAGATCGAGGACGCTCCCGAAGGTACGTCCCTGATGCCGCCGCCGCCACCGCGGGGGCGGATGGCGTAGCACGGGAGAGGAAAACCGCACGGGACCACAGGCCCCTGGTGGGCGTGGCCAGCCGCGTGTTCAGCCAGAACAGTGGCCACGGGGTGCATGCGGAGAAGTGGCGTCCACTGTCCCTACCGCGGGCTGGACTCGGGTCTGGGGATGAAAGGCGGGGCTGGGAGACGGTCTGGGGAGGAACCCTGTCTCCCCCCGCCCTTCACACCTCTAACCAAATGTCCTGAAGAATCACCCTTGCAACGCTCGCCCTGGGGCGGGAGTGACAGGAAAGGAAACAATGTGCAGACAGTCCGTGTTTTCTAAAGACTCTCCCCGTTGCAACTTTCGAGTCAAAGCTCCTGGAACGATTCAAAAGTGCAAGAACGTCCTTATTCTCACTCACTGACACATGTCTTCTCCTCGCCACCTTCCCCTTTCAGAGGAGTGTGAGTTTTAGCCGCTCTGTCGGTGGGAGCTGCGTCCGGACCGACTCAGAATGCGACCGTCCACCCTCCACCCTCCACCCTCCACGCCGGCGGCTGCCGCTCCGCGCCGCCACCCACCCTCTCCGGCCTCCCACGCCTGCCAGCCAGCCGTCTGCCCGCCCTGCCCTTCGCTCGCTGCCCAGATCGACGGCTCTGAGTGTTCGTGCTCTGCGTTAGCCTAACAATGAAAACAGATGAATGCTAGTCCGTGCTTTTAGTTCTTTTAGAAAATACACAGGATTCTCCTTTCTCTCCAAGAGACATGCCTGCTTCTCCCTGTGGTTTCTTGTCACGGTTGCGCATTAACTCCTGCCGTCTCCGGCGGGGTGCGGGGTGCAGGCGGGAGGATGCAGGGGCAACAGGGTCGCCGCGGTGGACTCAGCCGCTGCCAGGAGCCGGGCCCCCGGCACGAGGCCACTCACTGCAAAGTCTGAGAAACAGCTCCACGCCACACGCCTGTTGAGTAGACAATAGACACCAAACTCTATTAACGCTCCTGCACGATTCTCTGTGGACGGCCCGCTGCCGTGCAAGAAAACGGCCTTCCGAGTCCTTCCCTTCCCCCAGGTGGGAACGGGCTCAGGAGATAAAACCCGCAGCAGAGTCTAATAAAACACTGCAGAGTGTAGTGTGAGGTGACATCTTAAAGACACCCCCCCCACCCCCAAAGAGAGGGAGATGAAGGGCACACGCCCCCTTATTGCAGACACAGGCAACATGGAAGGACAGGGAGGACCCGCCGAGTACACCCGGGCATGGCACAGACACCCAGGCCCAGCCAGCGGCGCGGCCCTGGTAGTCTCTCGGCAGCCTCAGATGGCCCAGCCCCCACAGGGCCGCGAGGAGAGGGAGCAGAGGCCACAGCTCTGGGCTGTCCCCCTGCCCCAGGAGCTCAGTGAAACAAGTCCATTGCTCCCCAGATCCCTTCCTCCTCCCATCCGGGGTCCTTGCTCCGGGCACCACCTGGACAACCATCCGTGGGGTCCCAGGGGCACTGCCGGCCTCCACGGCCGCCGGTTCCCACGGAGAAGGAGGGGCACTGAGCTCCGTGTGAACAGTGGTTCCAGCCCGGCTGGTGGGGTCAATCCCTCCCCCAGCACTCTGCCCCCGGGACCAGCACGCACAGAGGGAGGCCGCAGGGCCGGGAGACCTGGGCACGGGCAGGCACCCAGCAGCGCCCACGTGTGTGCGGTCAGTCGCGTGTCGTGTTCTGTGTGCGGTGGGACCGCCGTGGCTTTTCCGCACTGGAGAACCAGCAGAGAGGTTTTCGCTTCTCTTCCGTGTCCCTACCATGTGGTCTCCCTCACAGCCTCTGTCTGCTCCGCACAGAGGTAAAAAGACACCAACTCATCCGTCTAGCCCCCTGTGGGAGGCAGTGCCCTCTAGTGGCAGCCTGTGGAGGTGGCAGCCTCCGGAATAAACCTCTCAGTCTGTCCTGGCCCACCCCCTTCCTGATCCTCTCCGTGGGGAGGGGCTCAGTGTCCCCCCTCTCCTCCCCAACCCGGGGGGGCTGCCAGGTGAGGGAGTCCTTGGGTCCATGGGTGTCCCTTGGATTCTGTCTGTGGAGTGAGACTCAAGCTTTCTCAGGAGTCCAGCTGGTTCTGTTCCCTGTGCCTTTCCCTGCACACCCCCCAGTGCCAGGGAGGTCACTTTCCCCCGTGACCTCTTGTGGTAGACCTGCTTCCCAGTTCTGGCCATCTCGTCCCTCCTTCCCCTACCTCTTACCTGACTTCCACTCCACAAAGACATGGGACAAATGCCTACTTTCCCCACCTCTCTTTCAGTGAGAGGTGGCCCTGTGACTCTATTCTGGCCCATGAGGTAGGAAGGGGCATCTACCTGGGGGCTCCTGAAGAAGACTTTTCCTCCTTGGTAAAAGGAGGGCTCCCTGTGGCCGCCCTGGTCACACCCGCAGCCTGCCTGCGGATGTTGTGTGGTATGAAGCTCTGATGCGGTGCTCCAGGCAGCCATTTTGTGATAATGAGGGACAGCCAGAGAATGAGAACCTTGACATCCCTGGGCTACTGATTGGACCCTCACCACCCACCTCTAGACTTCGTGCTGAGCAAACCCAAGTGTCCGTACGGGGTAAAGCACTCCCCACTAGGTTTCCCTGGCAACACACAACCAAGGCTGTGTCTTCTCCGCACCACAGAACAGTCACTCTATGGCCAGCCGTCACAGGCAGGGCAAACTCTTGCCCTAGGTGGAAGTCCTTAGGAGGCATCTTTTCGGCCGGGCCCTTGGTCTGTTAGAGGAACATAGGCGGCCATTCTCCGCACCACGCCCCAGGTGGCCCCCCACTCCTCACTAAGCCATCCGACCGCCTCAGCCCTCAGCACGCACCTCTGCCTTGGCCTCAGGAGGGAGCGGGCAGGGGGAGCTGCGTGTGAGAGAATCCGAAAGCCTCACTTTAGGTTTCCAAAACCACAGCCATCACCAATGACACCGGTCCTTGCCGCCACCCCCAGTTTGTAAGGGAGGACCAGGTGCCCACAGGTGGGGAGTGACCCGCCGAGTGAGCAGACCCCCCGATCAGACGGGCTCAGCAGACTGGAGTCGGAGGCCCCCCGGGGTCGAGGGCCAGCAATGATGTCAAAGATGCACTCAAGAGAAAGCGGAGAGAGGGGTCTGGGACACGGGGGCAACACCCCACACTGTTGCTTCCTGTGGCTCTGAAACCCGGACGAGGCCCCCAGTGGGGCTCACACGGCAGAGGGCTGTCCCTGGGGGTCATCTCACGGAGAGCAGGTGGGTGACGGGACCCTTTCTGGGGAGCCATGGCGCATCGACCGGGGGCTCCTAGACGCTAAGTCCTCCTGTGGCCAGGGACATGCAACCGCCTTCCTCCTGGCAAATGCGTCCGACTGTGGTCCCAGAGGCCAGGTGACAAGGGGACTGATTCGGTGGGTCCCCTGCCTTCCTCTGGTTTCCCTGGACTCTGGCCCAGCGAAGGCACTGAATGGGTACAGGGGCGGCAACCCCTCCCCCAGATCAGGTTACGCAGACAGAATCCGTGGCCCACGATCCACGCCCACCCCCTCTGGCGTCCACCTCCAGAATGTGTGGTCGTGCGGCTCCACCATGTGGACACCAGGTCTGTCGGGGAGGAGAGAGACCGGGGACTCCTGCAGGGGCGTCCCTGCCTCAGCACGAGGGGCTGGGACACAGGCCCTTCTGGCCCGTCCTGGCCCAGCACCCTGCACAGGAGCAGAGGTGGGTGCGAAAGAAGATGACCTCTGCCACACTGTCCTCCCAGAAACTCACCAGCATCCAGGAGAATTCCAACAGTGCAATGCGACTGAGGGGAGGGGACAGAAAACGTGGGGGGCGGAGCTCGGCGTGCACGACCCCTGAGACCCCTGACGGGAAGCAATGCCGAGGAAGCTCACCCGTCTGCAGGGTCTGGAAAACCGAGATGCTCAGAAGGACGTTGGGACCATGCTCCACGCTGTCCCTCCTCGGGCCACCCACACACGTCCAGGGACCTACAGCACTCTCTCAAGTTTTGGGGGTCGGTGGGAGCTGCCGAGTCCTGGGCAGTGACAGGTGGGGCAGCGTGTGTGGGTGCAGGAGCTGGGCCAAAGGGGACAGAGGGCACTGGGTGACGTGCCACTTCCTCCTCGTAATCCGCACCAGGCGAGGTGCGATAAGAGAGTAGGAGGAGGTTGGGAAGAAAACCCACAAAAGCCCCAGAGGAGTGAAATGTTTCCTCCTCACGCCCAGGAATATGCAGACATCAGGACCAGCCTCTGCCAACGGTAGCCCCCCACCCTGGGGCTCCACCCGCACCCCCCACCCCAAAGCCCAGGGGCAGTGATCATCTGGGGGGTGTCTGGTACCACAACCCCACCGATGCCCCTCTACAGCATTGTGCAGGTGGGCGAGGAAAGTGGGGGGAGGGGGGGCACAACGGGTGTCTTCAGGAAGCAATGGCCGACTTCCCTGGGTCCCTGCAAAGTCCTTGCAGCGTTCGGAAGTGTGGTGGGGAGAAGGCCAGTGTGGTGATAACGCGTCTCAGTGACTTACAGCCCTGCTGATAAGGCACAGGAGCAGTTCACAGTTTGGGGAACACACACAAATGTGCGTGCACACAGGCGTGCACACTCACACACGCGTGCACACTCACACGTGTGCACACTCACACACATGCACACACAGCCCCTGAAGAACCCGAGCCCCTCTCCACCCCCCAGCCTCGGCAAACAGGAGGAGGACACCTGTGGGAAAGGTCATCTGGGGACCAGTGCTCTTCTGCACCTAAAACCACTGGCTGTTGCCGGGGTGGGGTGGGGTGTGAAAAGCACCCTTACAACTTTCAAATGTGAATACGTGGCTTGGGAGTGAAAAGTTTTGTACACTTTATATTTTTGTTTTTGGAAACAGGCGTGTCCCTTCAGCACAAGGCAAGGGAGTGATGTGTCAGCTTAAAGCTTTCTTGGGTTTAGCAGACACGAAGATGCAATGCTAATCTGCCCCGTTCACTGCTGGGCGCCGGCAAACCTGCCCCCAGTGCCCCATACGCTGCCCTCTGCCCACCGGCCTGGAAACTGTCAAATTGGGGAACTTTCTAGAGCTTCCTGCATCCCTGAAGAGCTTCAGACAAAAGTTCCAGGCAGTCTCTCATGGGGAGAGACTTCTGTTCCTGGGACGAAGTTGGGGATTTTCTGGTAGATACATGGTGTGGGGACATGCGAGGCGGCTTTGGGCCTGGAAGGAGCTTGGAGGGCGTGACGGAGGAGCCGAGAGGGAACCCAGCCAGCCGCGAGGCCTGGGGGGCGGGGAGCAGAACAGGCAGACGCACAGAGAGGGGCCCAGGGAGTGTGTCCTGGGCGCCAAGGCTGGCGGTGCTGCCGCCCCAGAGGGGTCCCACTGACACCCCACACCCACATCATAACCCCCGCTTTTTTTCCAGCTTGAGCTGGTGGATTGGTCAGCTTGGGCGGCCACCAGCCACACTGCGTGGCTGAGACAGTGAAAGTCATCCTCTTGCAGATCTGGGGGCTGGAAGCCCAAGACCGAGGGGTCGGCAGGGCCGGCGGCCCATGAGGTCTCTCCCTGGCTGGTGCATGGCCGTCTTCTCCCCGTGTCTTCACCCGGTCTCCCTCTGTGCACCTCTGTCCTGCTGGACTGAGACCCACCCTACAGGCCTCATTTGCACTTAATCGCCTTTCTAAAGACCTTATCTCTCCCAAAGGTCACGTTCTGCAATAGTGAGGGTGACGGCCTCAGGCTGTGTGTTGGAGGGAGACACAATTTAGCC